AACAAAATTGGTTTAATAAATTTGATAGTTTGGATTCTAAAATAAATTCAATGTATAGTATATAATATATACAATAGCACATTTATTTAATTGATATGATATTTTAATTCGATATTAACTACTTATATTAGCTATATATCGATTAATATCGAAAATGATATAAATCGATATGTATATTAATTGGCTATATAGTGATTATAATCAAAATCAATGAAACTCAGCAAAAGTGATTACTATCGCTATATATCTGGTTGGTTAGTAATTGATATATATCTATATATATAACTTTCCTGATATAAACATTACCACAAAAATGAAAATTCTTTTTAAACCTCATGATTCATACCCTGCCAATCAGATAATAGCAACAGGAAGAAACATTGAAGTTACACAATTGATTTTACATATAGTGTGAAACATATAAAAAAAATTATTTTATAATACTTGAACAATCTTAATCTAGTAGATGTTATGATTATAATCTACCATTATTTTTAGTATAATAAAAATGGTGTTGGATTATAATCATAACATCTACTAAATTAAGATTGTTCAAGTATTGTAAAATAATTTTTTTAATATATTTCACACTATGTGTAAAATCAATTGTATAACTTTAATATTTCCTCCTGTTGATAATAGCAACCTCCATAGCCAGGGACCAGAAAATTTTTGGATCCAAATCAATCCAAATTTTTCCAAATTTTTTAACATTAGCCAAATTTTTCTAAATTTTTAAGTAATTTGATTTTATGAATCCTGATTGGTTAGAATTTTGATCTAAAAAATATCATGAAAGTATATACAAAATTTTTAAAAGAGCAAACTTTCACAAGCTAAGAAATGAAGCACTAAAATGCAAGAAAAAAAATAAGAGAAACAACCTAGCAAAATCACAAAACACAATTTAAAAAAATGTCACCAACAAAGAAGGTGACAACTTTTTTACATGCTTAGAAGTTTTCTGAAAATTTTGTAATAGATTTTACCAAGTTGATGTGCTATTTTTGTGAATACAGTGTTAATTATATAACCTTCCATATAAATGCAAAAATGTATAAAAAAAATCAAAAAACTTATCTTAATAACAATCAAAGCATCTGACAACAAACTTTTTTCTTTGCAATAAAAATTGCTGATATAAAGAGAGAAATGGTTTATAATTTGCTTGAAGCTTGGGTTGGTGCTGATATTCTATTAGAAAAATTTGTTAAGTTTTATAGGTTTTTAGTTAAATATTGTCATAAAGGTGGTATTATTCTAGGTTCAAGTGCATTGAGAAACAGTATTTAACAAAAGTATTTTATAAGCATATAGAAAAACTTCAGAATAAATTTGTAGAAAAACCTGTTGCTATAATTATTAATGAGACAACTGATAGCTGTATTCATAGTATCATTAATGTTTTATTTAGTTATAAAAGAACATTTGTGGTCAGGGCTAACCATTAAACCACTATGCCCTTGTAGAGTTCACTTAGACCTCAGCATCTATTTCACAGCATAACCCTGTTACTTTAGTATACTCCTGCCTTTTGTCCAGCCTTTTTACCAAACTCCTAATCCAGATAGCCCATGTAGGACTACGATCAGTCCATCGGTATATCAGATCGGCTTAATATCCTTTTTCTTCAGTTCGTTCCAGCGGTCTGGTTGGTGGTACCTCCGAGCCTCCCAACCCGGAGGTTCTTGCCTGTTCAGCTACTACGACTGGTTACTACAACCTTGGTATCTGTTTCCACAGGCTAGCTTTTACAGTAGAGTTGTCGAAGATCCAGCTACCTCTCTACTCGGGGCTTCCCAAATGGACTTCTTGGTACCCAATTTCAATGGATTCACATGGCCA